AACCCTGGGTGGCAACTGCACTGGAAATTAAATTAATTAAAGAAATTAAATAATTGATCAAAGATCTGGAAGTGATTGGATGAATGGAGATTTAAATCCAGATCTGGGCTGGGCTCAGTGGCCCACACCTATAATCCCAGCACTTTGTGAGGCCAAGGTGGGAGAACTGCTTGAGCCCAGGAGTTCAAGACCAACCTGGGCAACATAGTGAGATTCTATCTCTACAAAAATAAAATAAAAAATATATTATCCAGATCTGCTTTTGCCTCTATAGCATCTCCTCTTGGATGTTCTAGAGAAGTCTTCTGGCCACACCCATATTTCCTATTTCAGAGACAGGAAGCTATACAGACCACATGGTCCCACCCTCCAGGCTACAGATGACTAGACCAAAGGGACACACCTGATACAAGCTGAACCAATCAGATTTCCTTATCTGGAACTTGGACTTTGGACACTGAAAGACAGATCCAGATAGCCACAAAGTATGGAGATGAGGGCCCCATAAGCTCTAGGGCCGGGACAGCTATGATGGGTTGTGTGGGACATTAGAAGGAGCCAGCATAAAGAGAGAAAGAATAAAGAAACAGGTGTGCAGAAAATAGCATATCTGAGCATCCGTGCCCTTTTGAGAGCTCAAGAGACACAGGAAGTAGCTGAGCCTTCCTATCATTGGATACCATGAGATTTCCTACATTTTTAAAAACTTGAGCTGAATGAACCTGTTTGTTTCTGCCCACCACAGATCCCCAAATAAAACAAAATCTAGACAACACAAGAGACCTTCAAGAGGGCATGTTCATGAGATGGGTGAGGATGTTATATGCAGATGAAAAGACTTGGGGTGTCCATGGATTTCTTGGTAATATCTCTGCCTAGCCATTTTAAAGAGACAGAGCTAGGCCGAGTGTGGTGGCTCACGCCTGGAATCCCAGCACTTTGGGAGGCCGAGGCGGGTGGATCACGAGGTCAGGAGATCGAGACCATCCTGGCTAACGTGGTGAAACCCCATCTCTACTAAAAATACAAAAAGTTAGCTGGGCGTGGTGGCAGGCACCTGTAGTCCCAACTACTTGGGAGGCTGAGGCAGGAGAATGGCTGTGAACCAGGGAGGCGGAACTTGCAGTGAGCCAATATCCCACCACTGCACTCCAGCCTGGGGGACAGAGCGAGACTCCATCTCAAAAAAAAAAAAAAAGAGACAGAGCTAAGATATTCTGCAGCCAAGGGAGAGTGAAGGCAGAAAGGTGTCAAAGCACAGGGCTGCAAAATAAAAGATGCTTCATTAGGGGTTTGGCATCTGCTTCTTAAGAAAAGAAGAGGAGCACGACTCAGGCCTTCCTCCTCCCCGCAGCTTCACTACTAATAAAGGCAGCTGGGTGATGAGTTTCTGTATCTGGCAAATCTACTTCATTTTTCGTCCCTCTGTCGACTGCAATGTAAGACAGCTCAAGAAGAAATTAATACTCGGAGTCAGTGTCAGCTCCACTGACAGCAGATCAAGGCTGAAAGACAAATTGCTCATCACAGTTCAGGGAGCCGGAGCTGGGAGAAGACAGACTTGCCATTCCCTGCGGGAGCTCCAGGCAGCTCCCACTGGTGGCTAACTACAAGGGACCCATCCTGGCTTCTGCCTACCTGTGAAGTTTGCAGGGAGCTGCAAGGGACTGGTCCTGGGGGAACAGCTTGTTGGACATCCTTGGGGCCCCTTAATGACCCTGTATTTGCAGCATGTCACCATGTCACTGGTAATGACGAAGCCTAATGCCCTAGAAAAGCTATTTCTGTGCATCACTTATCACCAGCTCATTCCAAGTCATGGATTCTCAATTTTCTTTATGACACCTTGACCACTTGGCCATGAAGGATATTGTGTTTTGTGGGTTGAGTTCTGCACAAGCTCCTGACCAAACATTGAGTGGGGGGCTGATATCCAGCCCTTGCTAAACCATGTGCCCTGGCACGGGGCTGAATCCATTTGGAGAGAGGGTGGCTTTTTCTAATTTGCACAGAGGTGCTGCTTAGATTAATGAAGTCCTGGCAACATTGTATTGTAGAGCTATGGGCTTATTTGTTTATGGTCTGTGTCCCCTAGGTAGAATATTGACTCCTAGAGGACAAGGATTGTGCTGGAAATATTCCATTTGCCCCTTCAGAGCCACTTGCCACCCTTCTCCTCTCTGCTCTGTGCCCCAGGAGAATGGCAAATTAATGACCTCCCTTGCTCTCCAGCCTCCAGTTGGATTCAGCCAATAGAAAACACTGCTAGGAGATCAAAGGTGATATGGTTTGGCTGTGTCTCCACCCACATCTCATCTTGAATTGCAGCCCCCATAATTCCCATATGTTGTGGGAGGGACTTGATGGAACATAATTGAATCATGGGGGCAGTTTCCCCCATACTGTTCTTGTGGTAGTGAATAAGTCTCAAGAGATCTGACGGTTTTATAAAGGGAAACCCCTTTCATTTGGCTCTCATTCTCTCTTGCCTGCTGCCATGTAAGACGTGCCTTTTGCCTTCCACCATGATGGTGAGCCCAGCCACGTGGAACTATGAGTCCATTAAACCTCTTTTTTAAAAAATAAATTACCCAGTTTCAGGTATGTCTTTATCAATAGCCTGAAAACAGACTAATACAAAAGGGTAAGGGGAGAGAAAGGTTGGAGTCTCTGTTCCCAGTCTCATTTTCGCTACATGGACTTGGTTGGTTATGATTCTCTGGTCCTGGCTCCTGTCACACGGCATCTCCCTACCACCAACCTCTTCACTGCCAGTCACTGCTCCCCCTCTGTGCCCTTTCAGGGTGGTAACAGCTCCCTGCTGTTGCTAGCCCCAGGGGACTGCACTATCCCTTGTAGGGGGATCTTTGCAAACAGTCTGTGCAAATAGTCCCTTTATTCAACTCCTCCTCCAATTGCCAATTTAAGTGCACCATCTCTTTCCTACTCAGAGCCCAGTTAAGATATAGAGACATTGCTTGGTTCATTGCTGTCCCCAGCTCCTAGAAGAATGTCCAGCACAGAGCAACCAGTAACCATTCAACCATTTATTTGTTGAATGAATAAATTATGATCCCTGAAGGTGGCAAGCCTTGGTTTTTTATTGTTTTGTTAAGGACTCACTGGCATCCTCTTTATTCAGCCTTGCAGCTTGGCTGTTGGAAATCAGTCACGAAGACCATTCCTCCCACCTCATCTGTCCATGTTCGGGAGTCCTCAAACCTCCCTGTTCTCATTTATTTCAGATAACAATTAGACCCTGTCGGAAAAATTTTTCTTCTGCTTTTGCCCTGGGTAGTTTGCAGGGGTGGAAGGAAAAATAAGTGATACCCTCAGAAAAGCATCCTTTTTGATTCTGAAAACCAATGTTTTTCCTGCCATTCTTCTTTTCTTTACACCCATTTGTCAGAATCAGTCTCCTAAATTAGTGCTAGAGGCTGCTTGCTGACCAGGGTAATTCCACTCATTAAAAAAAAAAAAAAAACCAGTAACACAGTAAGCCCTCCAGAGCTGTTTAGTCTGGGGAGCCATGGTGCCGTTGCCCCAAAGGTGCACGTCTTTAGGGGTAGCTGTCTGAGGGCTGCTGGGCATAATGACCAGGTGGCAGGATTCCAGTCCTGGAAAATGTGTAGTATTTTCTCTCCAGGGTTTTGCAGAAATGACGCTGTCAGATAAAACAATGATTTAATGGCCACATGACAGGAGCCTTGAGACTAATGGTACCCAACTCAGAAAAATGTAGGAGACAACTGGAAGGCAATTACGAAACAGTCCGTGCCTACAACTCAGTCATTACCAACCAAGCATTGCGAGGAAGACTCTCTCCTTTGGAAGGTCAAATTCTTATGGTTCCAAGTGGTTGGGAGCAGAGCCGGTGCTGGAAAACACAGGGTGGATATTTCTATGGAGAATTCTCCAGAATCATGTACGTCACACAGAGCACTCCATCCTCCTCCCCTCTTCTCCCCCAACTCTGTCTCTCTCTTTCTCTCTCTCTCCCTCTGTCTCTCTCTTTCTCCTCTCTTTCTCTCTCTCTCTCTCTCTCTGACACACACACACACACACACACACACACACACACACACACTCCAATTTAAATGATTCAGCTCTTCCACTTTCCAAACCCAGTCCTCACAAAGCTTTGTTTACGCAGGCTAGGCAAAGTGATATTACCTACTTGACAAGTAGCTTTTGATTAAAAACACTGAACTCTGCCCGAGTAATTGTGCCACACACATGAAAATCATTTGAGGGCCTGAAGAGAAGTTCCTCTTTGCCCCCAGGAAACCTGAAATATTGTGTTTTTCTAAACAACAACCACCAAAAAAAAACCCTCTGTCTTGCATGGTTTGAACAAAACTTACATCTGTGCATTCTAGCATTTGCTAGATTTTTCTATAATGAGCATGTGGGCTATTTTCCAAACATTATCTTTTTTATGACAAAGCCATAAATTCACTCATTTGTGTTGCTAAAAGGACAAGTGACATACATAAAAAAGCACAAATTTCTCTTAACTCTCACCCACTGCCCATCTCCCAGCTCCAGAGGCAAATGCTTTTATGTATATGATGTGATTCCTCCTACCCCCTTTTTCTATAGGTATGAATGTGTATATATATGAATCTTCACACATTTTATTTTAAGGATTATTTTGTTTTTCGTAAATGGGATTATACCATATGTATTTATTTCACAACTTCTAAAAACTTAAATGTCTTAGAGATCTTGGAGATGTTGGGATCAGCACATAAAAATTTACCTAATTGCTGTTAACGGCTGCCTCAAATTCCATAGTGTTACTGAATCACAGTTTATTTCCCTAGGTCCCCTCTGACGCACATTTCAGGTTACTCTTAATGTCTCACGATTACATGCAAGGCTATAATAAAATACTTGTGCATTGCCTATTTGGGCACATAAGCCCCCATTTCTATGTGGGAGAGATAATTGTATCAGTTAAGATACTTTTGGCTGCAAATAAAAGAAGATCCCAGTGGCTAAGCAATAAGGGTTTTATTTTCTCATGTTAAGGTGAACTCTGAAGGTTAGAGCAACACAAAGATGGTTAATTCAGCGGCTCAATGTCTTCATCCTGGAGCTAGGCGCTTTCTTTCCATCTTTCTGTTCCGCTTCTCTCAGAGAGTTGGGAATGCCTCCCAGAGGGATCACATGATGGCTGGAGATGTTCTAGGCGGCATGTGCAGACATGCCTCTTCAGCAGTCCTCGGATCCCCTTGGCCAGGATTGAGCTGCAAACTCACACATACACCTGCCACTGGCAAGAGGAATGAGATGACCGTGACTGTCATGGACCGATTGTGATTCCTTCTCTTGTTCTTGGAAGAAGAAAGTGAGAGGAAACAGATTTTATTAATCAAATAAACCTCCAGAAAATTTGTCCCAAATCACAGCCTACTTGAATATCCAAGTACCAGTTACTTCACATCTTCATCCACTCTTTAATAAGGCATTCAACTTTCTGCCAGTGTGACGGGCGAAGAGGACATCTTGTTGTTTTCTTGTACTTACCTGATTGTCAAGATTGAGAATCATCTATGTATATTCATTGTTTATTTATATTTTCTCTTTGGAGAGTTACCTGTTTGTATTATTTGCCCTATTTTCTCTTAGGCAGTTTGCTGCCTTTTCATTGATTTGCAAAGTTTCTATATGTACCTCTTGGAAACACATATAATCAAGACATTTTAAAAGGTTCTCAAGAATAAACACTTAAATTATGTATCTTTGTTCTTTGATTCTCAAGTGTTTCTGTAACAGTTTGGGGAGCAGAAGAAAATCAATTTCATGGAATAGGTTGTGGTGACATGCTTTCTAAATGGTGTGCTTCAGAACAAAAGTTCCTAGACAGATGTTAAAATGCAATTGGAAAACACTGCATAAAATCTCCTACTTTTAGAGTGTCGCCATGTACAAACAGCATATGGATCAGCTCTGTTTTGATCATGACCACTACCTTCCTTGTGAGCTCATACCATCATTTGCCCTCTCTGAGTCTTACTTCACTCATTGTAAAATAGTCCCCCCTCTTGGCTCTTCCCATGCTCACGCACATTCGTGGCTTCCCACAGTAGCACCTGTGGCTCTCTGTCTGTGGTCTGGGGCAGTTCATAAGGGACAAGAAGGCAATGCCTTAAGGAGCATCCCTCTACCAATGGCAGACAAATGATAACAGATAAGTACCTGAGTTGCCTTGCCTTCAGATGCAAGAACTCTGAGACATCTTCGATATCAAGAGTCAACAAACTACAGTTCACCAGCCAAATCTAGCCCATGGCTTGTTTTTATAAATAAAGTTATATTGGAAGACAGCCACGCCCATTTCTTTACATATGGTCTACGGTTGCCTTCATACTACAAGGGCAGAGTTGTACAAGCGACTGTATACCCCCCAAAGCCTAGTATTTATGGTGTGGCCCTTTCTAGACAAGTTTGCTAACTCCAACTCTATATTATTCCCCTGTGGTGCCAGCAGGGTTGAGCCCCAAGTTGCCCATAGTGGTCACCTGCTTGCTCATTAACACACCTTCCTGTCCTTGTCCCACTCTCCTATGGGGGTTTCCCAGGATCACCTCCCAAATACACTACTTGTGCTCACAAAGCTGTAACATGCTAGACTTAGAAAAGAAGTCTAGGCTTAGAAAAGAAGCAAGTAGAGTGGGAAATGGCAGGGGACTGTAGACCATGGTGAGTCTGAGCCCCTGAGCCCCAGACCCAAGGCATCTTTAGGGTTAGCCCCCCCCCACCTCCCATCACTTCCACAAATCACCACCAAGACACAGGCATGCACACATGCACACACATACACAGAGCAAGCTTGCCATTCATTTGGGTAGTGGCTTTGCACACGTTACCATTAGTGGCTGATAAACTGAAAACTAAATGGAAAATGCAAATGGAAGACAAAGATGCTTTTCTCTTCTCTGCATCAAGGAAAACACCTTGACTCCTGGCCGGTGTGTGACCACATGAAAGAAGTAGACTTTCTCCAGAGGGAAATATGTCTGTTTAGTCTGTAATGATGCATGTTTTCATATATAAAATAAATAGGTCATCAAATATCTCTCCTAAGGGGGGAAAGGCTCCTAACATCTCACTGTTACATGTAATGCTACCATAATGCCCCTCTCAAATCATAGAGGACAAGGCTTCAATATACCTCGCATCTTCCCGCCTCCCGGCATTTGCACAGGCCATTCCTGCTGCCCAGACCATTCCCTTAATAAACACACTTTTGTCCTTTTTGGGGTCTGTTTAGATACCACTTCCCCAAAGACACCTTCCCTAATCCTCCCTGCAAGTTCTCCCCGTCAGTAAGCAGATCAGGGCCCTGTAACACTGTGTTTGTTGTGCTTACTAAATGTATCTATCCTGGTACTCACTATAATAACTAAATAAATGTTTATTTAATGTCTTTCTCTCCCACCAGTCTATACATCACATCTCTCATGTTTACAGTCATAGCCCCAGTACCTGACATTTACTGGATAATCAATATATTTTTTAAATAGATGAATCAGTGAATGGGTGAATGAATGAATGAATGGACAAATGAATGAATGTGGATGGACCCCTCAGAGAATCCAGTGGCCATTCTTTCAGCATAATTATGCCAAGATGAGTTCTTTGATGACCAAAAGAAGCTCTCTGCTTCTCAAATTCTAATCTGCAAGAGGAATCACTTGGGAATCCTTGTGGAAATGCAGATTTGAACTCAGCAGCTCAAAGTAGGGCTGATACTTGCTTTTCTGACAAGCCCCCAGGTGACACAGATGCTTCTAGTTCCCGAGTCACACTTTGAGTAGCAAAGGAGTTAGATGATCTTAAGCAAGAAGAGTGGCAGGTGCATTTATTTTTAAAGAGCTCATTCCTTTTGTCTTCACTGACATTTATTTTTACAAAAGTTCTAAAACGCAGCAATGCTTCCAGGCGGGGCAGCCACGCCACTTGGCTTAATTTCCTGCTGTTTAACCACAGGCCAACTAGTCAGACCTCAGTATACATTCAGAATTTTGTGTGATGCCATTTCTCATTTTGGATTAGGTCTTGACCACGTTCCTCAACAAAGCACCCAGTTCTGCATGACTTTACTTTTTATAAAAGGTGAGGGGAGGATGTGAGGATGCTGAGATGAACCAAATTCAAGACGCATCAGAAAATGGACTCTTACCCACATGTCTCTGAGGCTATTCCGAGTTCCTCTAAGCCACAGTGGGACCAGCAGCACCTACTGTCACCATTCATGCCAGTGTGACTTCTTTTTCCAAGTATGTGTCTATGTGTATGTGTGTGTATGTCTTTTCTTAAAACGCCATCCACGTCTGGGTGCTTTCAGTACTCAGGATATTCTGAGCTGCAGATCCTGAGGACTTCAACACTAACCATCAAATTGCTGAAATACCAGACAAGGCCTCAATGTCTTAGGCATAATATAACATGGATATAATGTTAGAACTTGGGCTGTAGCCTCAGAATGATCTGGATTGGAGAGCCACCACCCATACCTCATAGTTATGTGCGTTTGGGCAAATTACTTGTCCCTCTTGGGCCTCAGTTTCTGCCTCTGCACAATGACAGCAATAATAACCTCTACCCAAAAGGGCTGTTGTGAATGTCAAACAGAAAAATGCATGTAATGTGCATGCCGCGGAGTCACGTGCATGTAACGTGATACTGCGGTGTCTGGCACCTAGCAAACGAGAGCTATCGTTATCAGTGTTATTACTGTTGTTGTTGGTACTCCTACAGAAAGCTAAAAGAATTTTGTTGTGTAGGTTGACAGGGCTTTCCTGTATTAGAATTAGGGAAGGTCAGCCGGGCGCGGTGGCTCCAGCCTGTAATCCCAGCACTTTGGGAGGCCGAGACGGGCGGATCACGAGGTCAGGAGATCAAGACCATCCTGGCTAACACGGTGAAACCCCGTCTCTACTAAAAAATACAAAAATCTAGCCGGGCGAGGTGGCGGGCGCCTGTAGTCCCAGCTACTCGGGAGGCTGAGGCAGGAGAATGGCGTAAACCCGGGAGGCGGAGCTTGCAGAGATCCAGCCACTGCACTCCAGCCTGGGCGACAGAGCGAGACTCCATCTCAAAAAAAAAAAAAAAAAAAAAGAATTAGCGAAGGTCCAGTATCTTTTTCTTCCCTCTGAGCCCCGTAGAAATGCTTGGTCTGAAGTGGCCACCTTCTGGAAGCCTTCTGCAGTGGGGTCCCGCAGCATACCAGTGAGTCGTGTGGCATATCTGAGTGCTCGAGACAGCTGTGCATTCTACTGGTTTGCTCCCCTGTGCAATTCGGTGTGCAATATTGCAGAGGTCAGGGGTCAAAACCCAGGACAGGGCTCTGGAAGTATTCAGCTATCTGTGATTATAAGACCAGCCAACTCAGGCCCCCTCAATCATAAGTAACATAAACCCTTTCAGAGATCAAGAGAGGGGGATTTATTCTAGAAACAAGGGGTGTCCTGTGGAGTTCAGAGGTAGGAGCTGCTGTGGGACCTCCTAGTGGAGTGGTCCCAGGACCTAGGATATCATTGGCCTAAGATATCCATCACTTCATCTTCCCCCAAATCCACCCTCCGTACCCCAGCAGACATGGAAGAGGGTGCAGCTACTCACGGAGACCCTGTTTCTCTGAGAACTGCCTCCCATTGGACTGTAGCCAACTTTGAACTAAGTGACACAGCTCCACTCTCTTCACCTCTGCTGTGAAGAGAAGTGGACACTTGACCCAAGCTGGACCAATAAGATTCTTCCCTGAGAGTTTGGAATTAAGGCTGAATTAGTCCTGGCTGGTTTTCTCATCTGTAAAATGGTGATAATAATAGTAACATTTTTCTAGTAGAGTTGTGATGGAGATCAAATGAGAGATGCCATGTCAGGTTCTTACCCAACACAGGACGCATAATAAGCACTCAGTAAAATGACTGTTATGATCATTGTTATCCCCAATACCAAACACCATAGCATAAGGCCTAGCACAAAGTGGTGCTCAATAAATATTCATGGGATGAATGAATCAATCAATCCGGGAATGCCACAGGCTGCAATCAGCCATGCAAGTTGATGCTCAACCATAGCACTGCATGGACCACATGTTTGTACAAAACCTCTCTCTGAAGAACAGTAGACTTTGCCTCCTAAACAAAACCAAGGTGAACATCCTGACCCTGGGTCTCCTGTTTGTGAGGTGCAAGTGCTATATAACAGTTTTGTGGCCAGATGCGGTGGCTCATGCCTATAATCCCAGCACTTTGGGAAGCCAAAGCAGGAGGATTGCTTGAGACAAGGACTTTGAGATCACCCTGGGCAATATGGCAAGAAT